TGATGACAGCGCCGCTCTGGCTGACTGGCTCGCCCTACGCAATCTGCTGCCGCCGACAAGAGCTCTCGCTGAGTGGTGCCTTATCCTCAGACTCCTGCGACCATGTCCATCTTTCCTATCTTCTCCTTAGCTCCGTATGTTGCTATCCCTGCGCTACGCTCTCTCCTTCCTGCTCTCTCTATCTCCATACCTTTAATCCCATTTTTTTAATCCCTCCTCACCCCCATCCCTCGTGAGCTACTGTTGAGGTGTCGCACACTGATGCAGACCGTTACGGGGCTTACTTTTCTCTTCTTCTATTTAAGAATCACATAAGAGTGGTCATAGCTTTCTACAAGCCCCTGGATTGGATGCGCGTTTGTAGCACTGCGCCAACCCGACGGAACCGAGAGCTTGTCAAGAAAACATTGGCCCCGTATCTGCATGTTTCTGCAAATGTCGTCGAAAGACGATAGTCTTGCGTGTGGAGAGAGTGAACAACACATTTATTACATATTCTGCGCAAGAAAATCGGTGAGTGGTATTCTGGAGGCGCTGCGTTAGAGTGGCTCGAGCGTGCAGCGGAGGCAAACGAGCGCATCAAGTCACGTCACACGTGAGTTATGAGCGCCATCTGGCAGTTTTCTTAGAAAACAAAGCGTGTGGCTCTGAGACGGGTGTGCGCGCCCATCTCAGAGGTGATAAAGTGAACGCGAGGCGACGGGTAGGGGCCACCACCATCTCGTCTTAGCCAAGCGTTGAAAACACTCCCCGTTCCGTGCAAGCGTTGCATGGTCAGCGCAGCGTGATAAGCGCTACGGTCCTTAAATTACTTATGTATGCGTTTTCTAGCAAGAGGTGCATATGCAGAAATTATGCGTGTTGTTATGGTGCCCCAGACATGCGCCATAATCGCTTTTCAATTGACAATTGCACAAGCATGAACACTCAACCTTGAGCAACATTGGTGGTTGCTGCGGATGGGGTCGGCCGTTCAAGTACCCGATGCCGGTAAGAGTAGACAAACATACAAATGTACAGACAGACACAACAAAATTTTTGCGTCGAAGGTCCCCAAGAAAGACTGTCGTCTTTAAAAAGCAGGCACGACATTCGCAGTCGAATGGTCACAGGCTTTTTTCGAGCACACGGTGGAATTTGCAGTGTTCACACGTAAACCCCACTGCCTTCTCACGTGTAACAGTGTGCAAAGTGACAACGTGTAAAGTAAAAGAAGTACAAACAATTCACTTGCGTGTGTTGTGTAGTGTCTCTATATTCGTACATGTATAAAATAAAAAAAGTACTTTTTAAATGCGGAGCATTTCTTAGTCGAGCGATGTCGCGCTCCGGCGTAGGCAGTTCACACCTTCACCACGCATCATCGCGTCTCGTGCCGCATGACAGTGTCTCGTGGCAGCCCAGGAAGACACCCACACATGTGTCGCTCCCCTTTACCTCTATCACCTCGCAAAGCGGACGCAGGCAGCGCTTGTTCATAAGAAAAAGAGAACCGCGCGCGCTGCACAACCGCTCACTGGCAATCCCGTGCTTGTAGGGACTGGGTCGCACGTTAGGAATTCAGTCAAGGGCGTCTTTACTTGGTTTTTGCTTCACGTTGAAGGCAACGCTTTTCCTTTATTCAATAAATAAGAACAAAATAAAGACGAAATAGAGATGAATCCCTCCCAAACCATACTTAAATACGCAACATTCAAGCTATACCTCCCCCCCCCCCCCCCAACTCTGTGACACCTTTTACTCGAGTTCCCCACATGAGAAGATGCAGGCGGCATTTTTTTTAATAGCTGCCGCGAAAGATACGGACAAAATCGTGAGGCTACTATAATTAGTGGTAAGGATAAGCGTGATTTGGCTCTGTAAAGCTCCTTTCGTTGCCACTTCGTTGCCAAGAAACGTTGTCCGCGAGTGTAGAAGCTTACTAATTGAGGATGAATGGGTGCCAGTGGCTAGAAAATAATAAAGTTCACTTAAGTTCCATTGAGTTCCGGAACTATGCCGTTGGTCAGTACATTCTTGCTGCTTTTTTAGATTGTAGTTTGGTATGCATCAACTTTATCAGCTGTTTATGTAATCTAAGAAAAACTCTTCAGGGCGGAGTAGGAGGCCAGCGGAGAGGAGACGGCAATGTGTAAAAATTTTTCAGTTGCCGTTACAAAGATAAAAAAAGTAAATGAGAATGCCTTAAGCGTTAAGTTTGAATTCAGGGGATGGGAGCAGCCCTTCTAGAGTGCATAGCGCCACTATATATTATTATTGGAGATGCAATGTTCATATATTTTTCTAGTTTGCAAATTCAACCTTGGGGGTGCATAGAAGATAACGGTTGTTTCTAGGGAATTGTGAAAATTCGATGTATTTCCCGTGAACTATAGCTCACATAAACATCGATCGTTTCTGAAGATTCTGCTGGGTAAAAAAATCAGGCATAATTTTTGTTTGTATATTATACAAACTCATCGCATTGCTTTATCATGTAGTGTCGAAAGATAAATAAGATAATGTACAAGAGCAATGGGTATTTTTTGAAGTCTAGAGTCTGACAAATATTCGTCCGCTAAATATGAGACATTGGTGAAAACTTTGAAAGCAGATGCTAACGAGTAGCATATAAAATGAGAAAAACGTGCAGGAACACGTTATCAGATGCCAGTACAGCCCTTTACATTACGTATAAGAATAAACTGTTATTCAATACGTGAAATTTATCTGAAATATTGTCAAGATTATTCAAACTAAACGGAACGGAAGCGCTACTGTTATAATATTATCGAGTAAAGTTTACCGCATTGAATTGTAACTACAGTGTAAATAATTATCTGATTGCTGTGTGGTTTGTCTTGCCGTACTTCCTTACAAACCAAATTCAACCAGTCGCTTATATTACATGCGATAGTCACCTGCTGGCCACGTGCAATGCGAAAAGAAAAACAAAAACGGTGGTATTCAATGGTAAAAAATATGTTTATTCTTAAGAAACAACAAATTAAACGTATTTTCAAATTGGTCAGCATTCTTGAAACTTTCGACGTATTTATTTGCTCATGAAAAAATGGGCAGTTGTAACTACCAAATAATAATAATACGATATAACAGCTGTATTTGCCGGTACTCAGCTACAGAGCAGAAACCTGGAGACTTACAAAGAAGGTTCAGTTTAAATTGAGGACGACGCAGCGAAAAATGGAAAGAAAAATGGTAGGTGTAACCTTAAGAGACAAGAAGAGAGCAGAGTGGATTAGGGAACAAACGGGGGCTAAGGATATCATAGCTGAAATCAAGAAGAGGAAATGGACATGGGCCGGGCATGTAGCGCGTAGACAGGATAACCGCTGGTCAATAAGGGTAATTATCTGGATTCCTAGAGAAGGTAAGCATGTTGGGGGGAGACAGAAGGTTAGGTGGGCCGATGAGGTAAAGAAGTTTGCGGGTATAAATTGGCAGCAGCAAGCACAGGACCGGGTTAACTGGCGGATCTTGGGAGAGGTATTTGTCCTGCAGTGGGCATTGTCAGGCTGATGATGTTGATGAAGATGATAATGACGATGATGATGAAAGCACGTCAATCACATTCGTATAGAACAGAATTGGCCGTTTCTCAGGTGCCCTCCTTGTATCACTCTCTCCTTCGTGACAGTGTGTCACACTCGCTCCTTCCTTTCTATTTTAAGTCCACCTCGGCAGACCAGTGGATATGGTGCTTTGCTGGTGACCCGAAGGTCAAAGGTTCATCGCATACTGGTGGAAGCGAAATGGTACAAAGCCGCGTACTGTGCGATGCCAGCGCACGACAACGAACGTAAGAGCCTAAAAAGCACTACTATAGTTTACGTATTACTATTTTCACTACAACTCAGCTCGACAAGTAACTGCGACTGTGAGCGAATCGAGCCCAAATAACTGGGAAACATCGAGACAACTGTAGAGCCTTGCGAAATGGGAACGTAAGTCTGCTTTATAGTTTACACGACTGCTATAGGGATAAAATTGGAATGTTCGTCGGTGCATGTATGAATGTTGAGGTGCTTTTCCCGTTGGACATATTATGCCAACAATTCGTGGTTTGACCACATTCGAATGGACAAGTCGTTGCATGCAACATCTGAAGACAGCACCATTTATCTTTTTAGCCAACTTGAAACGCCAAATAAGTCTGGTTTGTTGTTAATATTGAGAAAACCACGGAACTGTCCAAGCTTAAAGGAAAGTGCACATGACCACGTTTCTCATAAAACACAGATTTTACTTTTATAATAATAATAATAATAATAATAATAATAATAATAATAATAATAATATAATAATAATAATAATAATAATAATAATAATAATAATAATAATAATAATAATAATATAATAATAATAATAATAATAATAATAATATTAATAATAATAATACTATTATTATTATTATTATTATTATTATTAATATATTAACATCACAGCTTCTAAGTTCTACAACCAAACGCTATTACGACGGACGCCATAGCCAAATACTCCGGATGTTTCATCATCTGGTGTTCCTTACCGTGCCCTGTCATCGCGCAGCAGACTGGTCACTAATATTTCGCTTCCGCCGAAATATGACCGCCGCAGCTGGGATCAAAACCACGACATTCGGGCCAGTATCTGAGAACCGTAACCCTCGGACCACCACGGCGGACAACTGAAACTATTTAACCGAGTGTCAGCACACCCGGATCCCTAACGTGGCCTTATATTATGATGATATGTGGGGTTTAACGTCCCTAAAACCACCACGTGATTATGAGAGACGTCGTAGTGGAGGGTTCCGGAAATTTCGACCACCTGGGGTTCTTTAACGTGCACGCAAATCGGAGCACCCGGGCCTACAGCATTTTCGCCTCCACCGAAAATGCAATGTGGCCCATGTTTCGCACAGACAGGTACTACTAATAAAATCTCACCAACATACAAACAATGTGAAATGCAGTTAGTGTTAAAAGGTCACTATGGTAAAAATGCTTCACTGTATTTACGTTATTTTGTACATCCAAGAAAACCACTTCACAACTTGGCGTCCGGTAAAGTATGGAGCCTGTAAGAGAAAAGCAATTGCTTTAATTTATCTGCCCGGATAAGTCATGAAAAGAGTGTTATTTTTCGATACTGAGCACACATACCTACGCAACTAATACGGGAATCTGCAATGCCTATTAACCGTATAAAACAACGTAAACTTGCCATTGGAAGACACTAGTAGGTTATTTTGGGACACGCGTTATGATTGACAGCTTGAATATGTGACACTTACATACATTGATGTCGAGGCCCTAGAGGCAACATACGATGCAACTGGAAGTGTTAGAATAAACTATTTGTGTCATAAAAATATTTCTAAGTACAAGATAAATATTTATTTATATTTTTCTTGTGCACTACATAATACTTAGTAGAAGATTAACTATTTAAATGTCATGTACTTTGTCAAGCTATGTCAAGCTAAAGTTCCTCCTAAACATACCTCAAATATTATTTTAAATTACATGCGAGATACATCCGCTCGAAGTGAGTTGAATAAAATATATTGTGTACAGCCCACTGCTCCAAGTAGAAGATAAATAATTATTTGAATAGTGTCTACTTGTCAAGCTATGTCAAGCTAATGCTCTCGGTAAACAGATATTAAATGCCGATTTACATTACCTGCGCGAGGCATCCGCTCGATCTGATTCGAAGAAGTTATATTGTGTTTGACAACAAACATTTCAAAGTACAAGAATAATAAACACTTAAATATTGTGTGTTATACCAGGTTATGTAAAGCTAAAGTTTCTTTTGAACAAAATGCAAAAAAGTTAAGTTACATGCGATAAGCATCTTTTAGAAGTGAGTTTCATAAAATATATTGAGTTGCACAACAAATATTTGCAAGTACAAGATAAATAATTGTTTAAACATTGTGCACTGCATCTGCTATATCAAGCTAAAAATCCTTGTCAACATAAGTCTCCGACTGGCAAAATTCACCGACTGGCCATCGCCGACCGGCCATCACCGGCCGGCAATCACCGGCCGGCAATCACCGGCCGGCAATCACCGGCCGGCAATCACCGGCCGGCAATCACCGGCCGGCAATCACCGGCCGGCAATCACCGGCTGGCAATCACCAGCTTGCAATCACTGACTGGCAATCACTGACTGGCAATCACTAACTGGCAATTACTGACTGGCAATTACTGACTGGCAATTACTGACTGGCATTTAATGACTGGCATTTACTGACTGGCAACCGCTAACTAGCAACCACTCATTAACACCCGCTGATTAACAACAGAGAAGGGCAGACTGCTGGGCGACCATGTTGTAACCTTTCTTTGCAATGTAGTGAATCTGGGTGCATGCCATTATTCAGTAATACGACAGTTAAATCTATATTATAAAGTATAGGGTAGCTCGCGAAATTTAAGAAGCGTATTTTATCAGCAAGATAGGTGATGTTTGTGTCACGAAATTTTTGGTCAGGTTACTTGCCGCTGAGTTAGCTTTCCTGAAAACGCATTATTAAAAAAAAAATCCTAGTCTGCTTATCTAACCGTTTCATCAAGACGTCTTCATCTATTCGCTTATATATGTCTGTTGTGTCAATAAATCTTCAATCACTCCACCGTGGTGATCTAGTGGCTAAGGTACTTGGCTGCTGACCCGCAGGTCGCGGGATCGAATCCGGGCTGCAGCGGCTGCATTTCCGACGGAAGCGTAAATGTTGTAGGCTCGAGTGCTCGGGATTTGGGTGCAGGTTAAACAACTTCCGGTGGTCGAAATTTCTGGAGCCCTCCCCTACGGCGTCTCTCGTAATCATATGGTGGTTTTGGGACGTTAAACCCCACAAATCAATCAATCAATACATTTGCAATCGATAGTTTGCGCTGTGTTTTGTATCCCTCACCTCTGTGCTATTGTATTTTAGTGCATCATGTTTAAGCTTTCATCCGGTGGAATTCAACCTCTGACTATCACCCACTCTGAATTTCACCGCCACTCTAAGATGGACCTGTTTTCAAGGGCATTGCATAGTGGATATTCCGGCAGCCTATCACGAAAAGCTGAGAAGCTGCCCTCACAAATGTAGCGGCGTCGGAGTTGAGTCAATCAGCTTTAACGAGCCGCAATGAATAGGCACGCAAACACAAAGGGCGTCCGTGACTTGAGCGATCACCTCATAATAGACAGGCGAAGCAGTCTGGCGGCTCAAGCAGGAAAACATCAGACTTGAAGACTGCATGCGGCTGTCAACGTGAAGGCTCCATATCTCAAAAGAAAATTAAATGCCTGAATTTGTGTATTTTTCGCATGGCCTCTCACATGCGTAGCATGAGTGATGAGAACACATATGATTTGTGATGGCATTCTTTTCTAACCACAATGCGCCTTTTACGTTGATAATCACCGTCGGCATTTCATGCTGTGTTGTATCTCTCCCTGCAAGCACTGTCCTCTTCCCTGATGTTTCATCTCAGCTGTCGGCTGCAGTTTTCAGGGCACATTACAACAGTAGCAATACTAATAATATTATTACAGTAATACTCCCAGTAAAAGATATATAAAGTAATTATTGCGGGTTTAACATTAAAAAATATACAATCATGGCAGACCCCTAATAAAGAGCCTTCAGCATATCATCTTCTTCGAGATGCAGCTCCCGCGGTCGGAATTCTATCCTGCAACCTTCAGGTTAGCAGTCCAGGACAATTACGACAAGACCACCGCGGCGGGGGAGGCTACCTGACGTCTTGAACAACAAAATTTAAAATATAAAAAAGGCTGCTATAGTTCTTAATCACGTCTCATGTCACGTGATTGATTCGCCCGTAGTGCGCGATCCCGTCCGTTGTGTAAATATTACATTAGGAGCAGCCCATTGGCTTCCTTAACGTATAGAGTACAGAACGCCATGATGCCCAGCCCTATTTTGGGCCTTCTCAATAGCCTGGGCTTGCCTTCGGAGTACCGTGATTCTGATGGCCTCCCCTGATGCGGCTTCACTGGAGAGAAGGTCATGCGGGACATCGCCAGAGCATGTCAGTCTTTGAACAAAGCGTTCCCCTGCAGTCGGGGTCCCAAGCTTTAAAGTCCGAGTATATCTGCTGTGGAAGCTCCACGACAGGCGGAGCGTACATTTTTTTTAGGTTGTAGTCGAATATTGATGTATCCGTTAAAAGGAAGCGAAGCAAAATCGAACTTGCATATTGAAGCAACGACCTCGTCAGGCTTCTACATCAGCAGATGCGCGCGCTTTTAACACGCCGCTAATCACGCGCTAATGACCCCAGTTCAAGAGTTCAAGCGAATGTATATATGGGTCGTCAACCCGTGAAGCAGCCACAAAACTAATATGATAAAGAAGCACAACAGTGGTAAGCGATATTTTATGAGGCCTCGTCGATTGGTTTTTTTCTAGCGAAACATTTTATCGTTTTTTTTTTTTGCAGATACAGCGTCCCGGATGGGCTATAAGTTTCTTGACCTGCCGATGACTGCTGGAGCTCGTGCAACGAAATTCGCTCTCTGCTTCACGCTGTGTCGACGTATGCCGATGTCATTATTAAGACATGAGATGTTTCTGATGTGGCATGTGATATACATAAAAAAGTAATAAAGGCCTTTTTTGTTGTTGTCCGAGCACACCATTGTGTGAAGATGCACTCTTGTTCGCATTCCGGATTTTTGCTTAAAATTTTTTTTGCTACATTGTCTTTATTTATTCTGACCACTGCATTAAATAGTAATTTAAAAAGTTGTATATTTAGCGTTTTATTAGATGTCGTTGCGTTTTTTTGTTACACGAACAGTTAGATTGCTTAATCATTTTCTTTTGTGACATCCCCTACTGCTGATGTCTTAAAGAAGAAAGGGGTTGCGCGAAATAAACAATAAATAAACAAAAACTGAAATACTTAGGAAGGGGAACAAAAGTAGACATACATGTCTTAGGAATAAGAGTCAATGATCACAGGCCTGGATATTCAACTGAAATTGGTGAGAAATAAAAACTGAGCCTGTGCTGGTTTAGTTCGGTTTGGTTTGGTTTGCTTTATTCAAGGCAAAACGCAACAAGATTGCCTTGGGGGACACGCCTGAAAGCTAAGTGATGCCTGACTTGGCCGTGCCACCCTGGCAGCAAGGCAGAAACATACCGCAAGCACAGTAGGCAGAAAATTACAACATCACGTGTTATCTTACACATGATAATTCAGTAACATTCAAAAATGTGCATTCACCTTGCAATGAGATGAAAAATGTCTAATTGAGCAAATACAAGCTTGCAATTATATGTAATGACAGAAAGGAGTGTTCATTACATAAACTAAATATTGAAATTTCCTTAATATATTGACAGAAAGGCGTGCAAAAGAAAATGTCTTTTTGGGAGGTTTGCTCAAAATTCCAGATATGTATGCGCGCTTGGAAAAAAAGTGCGAAATAACTTGCTTGTACAAATAAATAGTGCTGAAGCTCGGAAGAAAACGCAGAAACTTCATAGGTTAACGGTGACGATGGTTTCAAACGCGAAGAACGGAGCGCTCAGTGAGTTTGTGACGCAATGTGATGATCGGCTGCGCAAAAACGCTAGGGACGAAAAGGCCACAGTTTAGTACCTGCAACTGTAATGTCCTGTTGTTAAATCTGGCAACAATTCACAATCTACGATGACCGCGGACATGAAAGCGTTGACTAAAATAGCTTCATAGTTGAAAATTGACCCACATTAGTTCCACCCAGTGTGAAATCTGCAGGAAGAGCGTAACGCTGGTTCTCCCACGTTTCACTCGCGCATTCTGGGGTGCTTTACGATTTTGTGCGGATGTACACGATAACGTCATTTTGAATAGAAGAGGTTCACGGAAAAGAACGCCCAGCAGCTGCTGCAACGCCCTTCTCTGTTGCAGTTACGTGCGCTGAAAACCTGTTTGCACCCTGAAGGGTGCTTTTTGATGTCTATAACTAACACTCTAGGATAAAGGTGTTTTGACAAACAAGAACACCCGTTGCATGTGTGCTTTGCTGTTTCTAAATACTCATGAAAAGGGTGTTTTG